AAGCTGCTCGGCACTCTTCGTCCCAGACGAACCCATTAACTTTTCGCAATACCTTGAAGAAAGGTAAAGCGCGCTCGGCTAACTTGGAGAGGAACCGGCTAAGGGCTGCCAACCGACCGGTCAATTGCTGGACCTCCCGAACGGTAGACGGTGGTTGCATGTCCAGAATCGCTTTAACTTTGGCCGGGTTGGGCTCAATTCCTCTCTTGGTCATCATGTAGCCGAGGAACTTGCCGGTCTGAACCGCGAATGTACACTTGGTCGGGTTCAGCCGCAACTGGTACTTCCTCATGATCTGGAAGCACTCCCGGAGGTCCCGAGTATGGTCGGACCGGTCCCGACTCTTGACCAGCATATCATCAATATAAGCCTCCATCGTCCGGCCCAATAGATCGGCGAAGAGCATATTGACCATCCTCTGGTAAGTCGCTCCTGCATTCCGGAGGCCGAACGGCATCACTCGATAGCAATACAGCCCGTCCGGGGTTACGAAGGCTGTCTTGCTTTCGTCTTCATGGTGCATCATTATTTGGTGATATCCCTTGAAGGCATCCATGAAGCTCATCAATTCGGCCCCGGCCGTCTCGTCGACCATTTGATGAATGCTCGGTAACGGATACGGGTCGAGCGGACAGGCTTTGTTGAGGTCCGTGAAGTCTATGCACATCCTCCAAGCTGGGGGCTTTGGAACTAGAACAATGTTTGCCACCCACTCGGGGTAAATAACCGGGCGGATGTGCTCGATCGCCGCCATTTTCTTGACCTCCTCTCTGACAAACTCGCGGCGATCGGAAGATAGGTGTCGTGTCTTCTGCACGACCGGCTTCGCTGCGGGATCGACGGCTAGCTTATGGCAAATGACCGATCGATCAATCCCGGGCATGTCCTCGGGTCCCCACGCAAAAATATCAGCATACTCCCTGAGTATGCTCAGAACCTCTGCTCGGAGCTCGGGGGTGAGGGCCCGGCCAATTTTAATCTTCCTATCCGGGCGGTCCTCGGATAGGGGAACTTCTTCTATCTCCTCGGAAGGTTCGGGTTGCTCCTTCCGTTCTTTAGCCTCCTCTTTGGCTATAGTGTTCACCCGGGAAGACGGACCGGAATCGCGTCTGTTGACCGCTTGAGTGTAGCACTTCCGGGCGGATTGGACATCGCCACGGACCACACCGACCCCACTGGGGGTGGGAAATTTCATGCAGAGATGGGGCATGGAAATTATCCCCCCGATCTTCATGATGGCGGGTCGGCCCAAGATTATGTTGTGGACACAATGGAGGTTGACCACAACAAACTCCAGCTCCGTCTTGATCGACTTTGGAAGCGTGCCAATCTCTACGGGGAGCATTATCTTTCCCTCGGGGTAGATCAAGGCCCCGGTAAATCCCGACAGTGGTACACCGACCGGAGTCAGCTCCTTCCTGTCGAGGCCCAGCTTCTCGAAGACGTCCAAGTAAAGGACGTTCACACTGCTGCCCGTGTCCACCATAACCCTGTGGACATCCGTCCCCTTGACATCGATCGTGACCACCAGCGCCTCCATGCCGTGGTCGCTGCTGCTAGGTTGGTCCTCAAGGGTGAAGGTTATGGGCTCCATTTTTTGTCTTTTCCCGGTCTCTCGGGAATCCACGATCGCAACCGGGCAATTCGTCTTCGATCGAGATGCATCTTCTAGCCCACCAAATATGACATGGATGGTGGGCTTGCCGACCGGGCGACTGCTGGTCGGGGGATCAGGGTCCCGTCGGTCTTCACGACGACCGTCTCTTCGGTCCTGACCCGACCGATCGGAGCGGTGATGAGATCGCCTGTGATCCCTCCGATCGGTATTCCTCTTGCTTTCCTCTCTTTTCCCCACGCACTTGTCCAATTTTCCCAAATTGAGCAAATCTTCCAGCAACTGGCGCAAGTGGGTACACTCCTCGGTGTCATGCCCGGCGCATCGATGGTAAGCACAATGCTTACTCTTATCAGGGCCGTCTCGATCGGGATGGGGGAGTTTGATGAGGTTGCAGGACTGGGCATATTGCATGGCCTCCGCTGCGGATCGGTTCAGGGCCGTAAACTCGCCATGCCTGGTGCGGGATCGGGGATTGTCACCTCCCGATCGATGTTCCGCCCGGCCGGCCGGTTTACGGGAGGAAGAACCGACCTCTTGCGAACGTTTCACGGCATTCGCCTCACCAGCATTGGCGTAATCCGTGACCCTTCGGAGGGCCTCCTCATACGTGGTCGGGGGGTGGAGGATGAAATCCTGGTATAGATGCCCCGCCCGAAGGGAGATATGGAGCATGTGAGTGGCGGTCGCATCATCCATGGGCTCGACCTCCCCGACCGCTGCCTTCCACTTGATGAGGAAGTCGGTCAAGCTTTCCCCTTCGAGCTGCTTGGCCTTTTCGAGGTACATATAAGATTTCCTCACCACTTTGGACGTAATGAACTTCCGTACAAACTTGATTGCCAGGGTCTCAAATTTGTCGATTGACCCCGGCTGCAGGGTTCGGAACCACTCTGCTGCCCGACCGGTGAGGGTTGAGTAGAAGGCCCTGCACATCACGGCGTCTGAAACGCCCTTCAGCATCATGTTGCTGAAAAAATCATTCACGTGAGCCTCAGGATCTGTCCGACCGTCGTAGCTCTTCTCTCCCGAGACCTTTAAGTCGAGCGGGTAAGGCTGAGCCATTACCGCTGCTGTAAAAGGCGTCTGGTGTAGGGTCGATCGGTCGGCCGGGGGTGCTGTAGGATACGCACTCCTGAGCTGCGCAACTTCAGCTTGGAGGTTGTAGAGCAATCCTCGGGTTTCGTTGAGCTCGGCGTTCTGGGCGGCTTGGGCTGTATCCCGAGCGCGTCGACGTCGATGTGATCTCGACCCGCTGTACCCGGACGAAGCCTCGTGGCTAGCTTCCTGCATTTGTACGTCCTCTTTCCTGGGATTCGGGTCCTGGGGTCCCAGACGCTGGCGCATCTCTGGTCGGAGACGATCGAAAGCTACCGCACGGGCAACCTCCTCGGGGTCCTCCGCTCGGGCAGGAGCTTCCCCTTCTTGCTGGGCCTGCGCTGGTGCCTCCATCGCATCGGCACCCCCCGACCCCAACCGCGAATGAGCCGAGCGTCGAGCCCGGGAAGTGGACTGACGCTGCGGCTCTACCTGTGCGATTGGTGGTACTGGAGGGGCGGCGGCTGGAGCTGTATAGGCAGGCGTATATGGTGGATAGCCGACCGGGGAAGGGTAGCACATCGGTTGGCCTGGCCAGTACCCGTATGGTGGAGGTGGGACCGGGTACGGGTACTGGGCGGGATACATCATCGGCTGCTGCTGATATGGCAGACCGGGTGGTGGGTATCCCGGTTGGATGTAGTTGACCGGCTGTTGGGCGGCCGGGTAAGCATTTGACAGGTGCGGTGGTGAAAGGTTGAGGTTGAGGTCCATCGTCTGACCCTGCTGTTGGGTAGCGTAGTGGTCGGAGGAGCTCGCTGCATCCGCCTGGTCGTCGGCGAAGTTGTTGTGTGCCCACGGATACATGCTGGTATGGTGATCGGGTGCTCGTCAAGACGTTGGCTTGTTGCACGGATCCCCACAGACGGCGCCAAATGATACTGCTAATTCTACGTAAGCAATATAAATAACACAAGACCAATTAAAGCAGGTAAAGTCTTTATTGATCAAGGTAAAGTTCCTAAGTACAATCTACTTGGTTGCTCTGAGTACCGACTGAGTGCGGTCGGGATTCTCTAATAACAACCTATCGATCGTCCAAAAGTCCCCTCTACTGTAGCTACTGTGGGCATTTATAGCCGCTGTGCCGGAGACAAGATCCCCGCTGCTCGGCATGTCTTCCACGTAGCCACCACGTGCCTTCCTCCTGGGTGCCCTGCCTGTCGATGTAAAGAGCCGCCACGTGTCTTTAGTCAGCTCTCTCGCCGAAGGACTACCGCTCGGGGTTGACACCCTCGCTCGGGCAACTCCCGGTCGGTTCCCGACCGGGTTCTTCTCAAGGAGCCCGACCTGTTACCTGCAAAGACAAGGAGAAAGAGAGACTCCTCGGTCGTGGTGAAGGTATGTCGGTCGGGATATTCCCTACCAATAATTATTAAAATTAAAAAAAAAAACGGTGACAATTTGGTAATTTTTGCATTTAGGTCAAATTTGAGGTGCATGATTTTTGACTTTTTGTGCTTAAGGTGCGTGGGTTTTGTGCTCAAGGTGCGTGAGTTTTGTGCTTAAGCTAAGGTGCGTGGGTTGTATACTTAACGTGAGTAGTTGTTGAAACTTAAGGTGCGTGAGTTTTGTGCTTAAGGTGCGTAGGTTTTGTGCTTAATGTGAGTAGGTGCGTGAGTTTTCTTCTTAAGGTGCATTGTTTTCATTCTTAATGTGTGATTTGTATGCTTAAGATGCGTCAGTTATGGTGAAACTTAAGGTGAACTATTTTTAAACCTTATTAGGTGCATGGTTTGTGTTCTTAAAGTGCTTTGTTGTGTGCTTAAGGTGCATGATTTGTATTCTTAAGGTGTTTTGTTTGTGTGCTTAATATACGTGGTTTGTGTTGCACCCCAAACCTGAACCCTTCCATATATATATATATATATATATATATATATATATATATATATATATATATACCATTTAGACATTATAGAATTTTCTAAATCTTTGATTATTGTTAATTTGGTAACTCAAGAATAAATTAATATTAAATGTATGGGCAGCTCAATGGGTCATAAAAGTGAAAGTTGAAAAGAGATCAGAGATCGAGTCTCACCAGCAGCAGTGTCCAAACTTTCACTTCTAGCCTCTGTGACTATTTATCATTTTTTCAAACTTTCACCTCTATGACCAAATAAAATATTTAATATTATTGACACCGATATTGATCCCACCTATAAAATTATAGAAAAATAATTTATATACAAAGCTGAGTGTTAGCTTGTAATAAACGTTTCCACCTTCCTTTTTAAAAAATGACGTACACAGAGGAGTGAGAAAGGTGAAGGCACTACATATATTACACACACCCTTCTCTTTCATGCGATATTCACATTGAGACACGACAGAGAACAGAGAGAGAGAGAGAGTTTGATGAGCTGAAGAAGACAGCGGCGGGCGTTGAAAAAAGTGAGTAATTAATGTCGGTTCTTTAATCTCTCAATGTCTCTCCTTGTTTCTCAGATTCAGACATTTTTAATTCGCTTGCTGTTTCTCTTTGATTGATCAACCGATTTGATTCGGTTCAGCTAAGCTTCTTATCGTTGCATGCTTTGATTGCTTTCTAGAGATCCAGAGAGAGCGCATTGAACGGTTATATCCTCTTTTTTTTTTTTTTTTTTTTTTTTTCCCACTCAATTTCGTATTCATTTCCGTCAGTAATCCATTCAAAATGAAAGGAAATGTGGCAATGGATCAAATGCTGTCAAAATATGTGTAATCTATGATCGTATATATGAGAATTGTTACTTTCTAACTCGTTTTCTTAGATTTTTCATTATGTAGTTTTCATGATTTTGCGCTCTTCTTCGACGTATGAACTGTAATATTATGAATACTCAAATGGAATGAACCTTATCATTTTAACTTTCCTTTTATGTTTTTTTATTTGTTTGCTTTATTTTATTCTATTTATTTGTTTTCTTTTGGTTTGTCTACTGAATTTCCTATCCTGCACGTGAATTTTGGCAGGAAATGTGTTATTATTTCGGAGTAGTTGAATAATTGGCTTATTGTATTCTCTGTTCCAGTTGTTAAATCTAAACTTGCTTGTTCTTTCCCTTATTTGGCCAACGAATTCGTGAGTGATCCAAAATTTTAGTAGTGCATGTTAATAATAAAAACTCTAAAAAAATTTCTTCTGCCTGTTTACACTTACAGATCACTGGAAATTGTGTATTGTGTGTTTCAGTTCTTACTGATAAAAGGGTAACCGTTACAGAGTTGCAGTTAGTTAATGATGAGCTGGAATTCGCAGATGGAATTTCAATACACAGACACAACCTTGCCTTATGACTCAATTGGAAGCTTCATGGATTTCTTTGGAGGGATAGCTTATGACCATTTGAACTATATCTTTGCTGATGTTCCATATGCTCAGGTACATTGTTTTATCTTTTATGAGTATTTAGCAATATGGCCATTCCAAATTGACTATAAATGCTGTAATGGACTGATGTTGAATCGGGGAGAGTAAAGCAACTGTAGTGCCATTTTTGCCCCTTCACAAAATGACATAACTCTTAGCCTATAAGTCAATAATGGAAGAAATTCTGTGTCTATCCAGTATTGCTGGCATAAGCATTGTTGCATTATTGGAGATATATTTCTGGTATTGATGTGACTAAGTTAATTTGTACTTTTTTAACATAGTTATTCATCTCTATTGAAGTACTAGTTTTCTTCCTGGTGAATTTGGATATCTTCTTAAGCATAATAATTAGTTTTTTTTTTTTTTTTTTTTTTTTGACAACACCTAAACACAGTTTTTAACCTTCTGTGTTCTGTGCAGGAGAACTCTTCTGTTAATACCAATATGTACAAATTTGGGTTCTCTGAACCTGAAAGTTTCTCTTATTATGATTATAGTCCTAGCTATTCTGTGAGTCGTCAAGTTTGTGGAAATGAGGGACAAGATTGTCATTTTGAAAACTCTCAAACACTTGCTGATAATGATGTAGTAGCAGCAAATATGCATCAAGAAGACAATTCAATCTCCACCCCGCATGCTAATTCTGTGGAGTGTGAGTTCATTTTCTCCATTTGCTCTGGTTGCAAGGCTGAGGAAATAGTTCATTTCATTTCTTTGACTGGCATGAACTAGTTTAGCAACTGTCTCTCTTAATTCACTGGAATCGTTTTATGGGGATTTTGTATAATTTCTCTAGTGAGTCATGTCCTCTTGTCTTTGTGTATTCAATAATAACTTCATTAGTTTTAGATAATGTGGAGTAGTAGATACAAACTCTGCTTGTAGGAGTCCTATAACTGAATATTTTGGATGCTAACCTGTAGGTTAAATAATTAATGCTTAATCAAGCAGTTCTGTTCCCTGGTTTCAAGTTTCTTATATTTGTTGATAGATGCATTGTAGTTAGAAATGAGTTACATATAGGGCACTATTCTGCCTATCTTTGTGCTTAGGTTGTAACATGCATGAAATTTGTTAATTACTAAAAGCCTTTGGCATCTTACATTCTTAAATCTTTGTACTTATCCTTCTCTTTGCTATGAATCAGTGACTGTTGAGAAATTAGATTGTCATGACTATGATAGATGCAATATTAATTATGTTTGCTGCAATTGCAGGTTCTCGAGTTTATCAGAATACTTGTGATAATGAGGTAAGAAGTTTTCTCGCTTACATTCAGACTTTACTACCATGGAACATCCTTTTAATGAAAACAGATTTTTCACTCTTTCTGAATTGATACAGGTTGTTTGGCAAGACAATATTGATCCTGACCACATGACCTATGAGGTTCAACATCTAAAATTTAGAATTTGCATCATTGAACTGTGTGAATTTGTTATATAAATGCTGATAATTCATTTTCAGACACCAATTATCTTCTGTCTTTCATCCTAGGATTTGTAATGATTTAGGAGGATTATGATTTATTAAAAGGAAAAAAAAGAAAATAAAACAAAGTAATGGAAGATAAAGGGTGATTAATATCTGCAGGGAGAAAACAGCACCCAAAATGGAATCCATTAATTGCACATATTTTATTTGCATTTAAAAGACAGCTAAGAGGCACAAAAGAGAACTACATTAAGGTTAATATTATAAATTGAAAGAGAAATTGGTAGGTTCAAATAGATAAAGTGCACTTTCTAAAACTATATGCTTGGTGAGAGGCCAATGGAAATGGAGGTAATATATCTAACCAATAAAATTAGTTGGTTGATTTTATAGCTAAGAAGTGAGAAGGATGGGAGTTTTGCTGATATTTGGAACCATGTTGGTCTTGTTATCATCCCTAATCTCTACGGCCTTGGTTAGTCATTTACCTTATAGTTATGGCTTGCTTGGTGATTAGTGGCTTACTCTTAATATTTGTTCTACAAGCAGTTGGCATATTGACTTTAAAAAATCGTCCATGTTTTTCTTAAGATTGCCTCAGTTTATTAACTGCAACAACTACTTTTCTTCCAAGTCTTGTTGGTCTTTCTGGACCCTAAGGTTCAACACTTCAACCTTCCCTTTCTGCACCTTTAAGTTACATACTCTCAACACATTGCTTAATTAGTTTCTTGCTTTTATTTATTTATTTTGAAAATGAAAAGTATTGAGAAATTCTTTGTTACTTCTGACTTCTGAAATTCAGGTGATGAGGATGATAAAGTATATTGAGAAGCCCAATCATTTTCCTGTCACTTTATTTTACCTTGTGTGGAGGAATACTAGCCAAATATATATAATTTACATATTTTGAGTCAAAGATGAACCTAATAACTAGGGTTGAGCCTGCGAGGTTCTTTTTATATGTTTGGTGAAAGTAGCAAATAAAATATCTCAAGAATACTAAGAAAATGATGTATAGTGGTCCATATTTCTGGCTTTCAAGTATCTAGAGATTTCGCTCTTATATTGGGAATTACTTGCTGGATATTTGTTTGAGATAGGATCAAATTACGAGTTGTTAACAAGAACTCTTTGAAAGTAAATATAATAAACAACCAGAAAATAATGCCAGGACATGTAAAGCAACTGGACCTTGTTTTGAATTTTATGGTAGAAACTGAACCAGATAGAAATAATTATATAACGAACAGCAATTATGGATCACTGCTTGGATGCAGTACTTTATACAAGATTTTAGCTAGCATTAAACTCCTGTTTTCTCTATAAGTGCCAGAACCCCACACTTTTTAATGTTTATGCTGCTATTTATGGAGTATGTATATAAATTGTTATAGATTTGCCCATTGGTTCACAGGAACTACTCGAATTGGGAGAGGCAGTTGGGACACAAAGCAGAGGCCTTTCTCAAGACCTTATCTCTTTACTTCCAGTCACAAAGTTCAAGTGTGGCTTATTTTCAAGAAAGAGATCAAGAAAAGAAAGGTAAGATAATGAGTTTCTAAAAGGCTTGAGTGGCTTTATAAATTTTGTGGATTTTGTCAGTACTCACTTCAATCCCTGTCAATAGAGTTTGGAGAAAACAGATATGCAGTGAAATTTCTTAAACTGTTAATCCAATTCTTAGAGAAATATAAGTATCAATTTCATGCATTTGTAGACTATTTGCTATTTGACCTGAAACATAAATAAATATACCCGCACATCTACATATCAGTTTACAATTGTTTATCCCTCGAGGTTACATCCTTGTAATGGCATGAAGTCAAAATCTCTAAAGGATTATCTTCATCATCCTACATATATATTGGGGCAGAATTCATTTTTTGTTTGTTTGTTTTTTGGACTCTTAACTTAATATGGAGTCATCATTTTTCTAGATGGATTTGCCATCTATTGATGACCATCTATTTTCATGAACATATTGAATTTGGTTTCTTTCTCAACAGGTGTGTAATCTGCCAGATGGAATACAAACGAGGTGACCGACAAATCACTCTTCCATGCAAACACGCGTATCATACTAGTTGTGGCAGCAAGTGGCTAAGCATCAACAAAGTAATCAATCAATCACCATATATAATGCTTGGTCTAGCAAAAACTAGCTAGGCTATTTATTATATTGCTAAACTTGTCCTAATGTAACAGGCATGCCCGGTCTGTTACACAGAGGTGGTGGTTGTTGATGCATCAAAGAGGTGAAGCTTTTTTGTTAATCCATCAGCATAGGGGCGGGGTACCAACTTCAAACGTCTCGCCTTGTCTTTGTTCAAGCTAAGGTTATGAACAGTTTTGCTCCTTCCTTTTCCTTTGGTGCAGAATGTAGAATGTGAAACCAATTCAACCAGCATTTTGAATTAAAGGAGTTTAATTTGTTGGAGCTTGCATGCACCACAGACTATATTGCTCCACATTTTCAATATTTCACCTATATATATGACCAGATAACTTTAGGGGTTCGTGTGATTGGACTAGCGATCCTTTCCTTCCAATCCCGTCTGGTTCGTATGATATATAACCAGAGAAACAAGATTTTCTGCATTTAATTTGTACTTATCTGATATGTGGACAAGCTGTTTGAAATTAATTGAAGATTCACTTGTTTGCTGAATGGAAAATGCTTATTTCCATGCATTTTGTTACCGCTAAGAATCTCTCCTTAAGTTAGAAGAGCTCACTAAATAAAAACAATGTTGAACAGTTAAAACATTTTCATTGGTAAAAAAAAAAAAGGTAATATGGCTTTTACTAAATCAAAATGTTATAAAAAGTAGAGGGAGTTTAGCTTGATTACTGCTGAATATTTCATTATTATCAATGTTGCAAAATATTCTTAGGCATCTATTAATCAGCGCTTAGGTATTAGGTATCGGCTGGTCGCTTAGCATATCACTATAATTGGTGGTCTAAGCGGGTGGCTGCCTAAGCGCTGCCTAGGCCTCCTAGGCACCGACTAAGCTGCCTAATTAGCCGATTAGTTATTTTTTTTAACAAAATATATTATTTCACTCAAAACGACACCGTTTTAAGTGAAACAACTCCAAATTGTTCAAACTCTAGATGTTTTTTATTAGGTTAATATTTTAAATTTTAGTACTCTGTATTAACTATTAAAATATTAAATAGTTTATAATTATCAAGAGTCTTAGAAAAATTAAAAATTTTAAAACAAATTCAAATAAAAAAAAAAATACATTGGCGCCTAAGTGTCGATTAATGATCGTCTAATACATTGGTGCCTAGGTGCCGATTAATGATCGTCTGGGAGCGTCTAGCGATTTTTTCAACCATGACTAATATAATATTATTAATTTTTTTTTTTAAAGAGAGCGTGTTTATTTAAATGATCTATTTATTTAAAAAAATGATCTATTTATTTATTTATTGTTTGTATAGTTTAAAAGAAATATATTTTTATTCCCCCAATTATTTATAAATTGCCTGTATTAGTATTTCATTATCCAAAATTATAAATTATATATCTTCAACTCTATGATTGTGGCAGTCTTAATGATTAATTTCATTCAATAATCGATTTACACAAAATTAATTGAATTATTCATTGAATTACACACACACATACCCTACCATTGCATGCAAGCATACTAGCTAGCCATAGCCAATATAAATTAGTTAAGGCAAACCTAATTACTTAATAGTAAATTTCTTATTTAACTTTATTACCAACTGGATTATTTTTTAGGAGAAAGGGCCGGTTTGGAAGAAGTATAATATAATGTATATATGATAAACATTATTTTTGTTGTTATTTTAAATAATCTTTTTATAGTTAAGTTGCGAATAATTGATTAATTCTTATCTATTTTTATTTAGGGAAAATGACACTTTTTCCCCCTGAGTTATATACTTATAGCACTTTTTCCACCTCAATTATTTAGCTAAGCACATTAGCCCCATCAATTATTTAAAAAGTGGTGCTTTTTCCCCCTGATATATTAAATTGACATTTCTACCCTTAAAGTAAACATTTTATTTATTTTACTTCTCCAACAAATTATTGCGTATACGTAGGGATGTCCATAGTTCGGTTTGAACTGAACCGGACACTAAAGCAATCGAATTAAAAGTTTCCGGTTATGATTCAGATCTAGAACCCAATATTTAGATGTCAATTTATTAAAATTATGTATCAAAAAAATTGAATCTTGAACCGTGAACCGGTGGTTCCGGATCCGGTTCGCGATTTTGAACTGTCTTTATTTTAAAATAGTCTAAATTCAACAATAAATGTATTTTTTTTTTAGTTCGGAACATGAACCGTCCGTTCCGGTTCACGATTTTAATAAACTCTAAATATTGGGTTTCGATTCTAAATTGTAATTTGAATATTTCAGTTTGGTTGCTATAGTGTTTGTTTGGTTTGAACCAAATTATGGTCATAATTTGTTGGAGAAAAAAATAAATGAAATATTTATTTTAAGGGTAAATATGTCTATTTAACATTTCAGGGGGAAAAATAGTCACTTCAATAATTCAGGGGGAAAAAATGCTATAGGTATATAACTCAGGGGGAAAAAGTGTCATTTTCCCTTTTTATTTATTATTGCTATAATTAGTTTTTAGTAATATTATTCAATTTTAGGTTGTTTTTATTAAATTTGTCTATTATTTGAATTCTGTCAGTCTAATAATTCTTTAATCTTAATTTAATAATAATTTTTGATAATACATGATCAGCAGGAGTTTAATAAATGTAGATTAATTATATATGGTCTCTAATAAGTTTATTATTATTATTATTATTATTATTATTATTATTATTATTATTATTATTATTATTATTATTATTATTATTATTATTATTATTATTATTATTATTATTACTAGTAGTTGCGCCCGTGCGATGCACGGCCATATTATTATGCCGATATGTATAAAAAAATTGTTTTATTCATTATATGGTCAATAAGGTTATAGACGTCACAAATACACAAAATAAAATATTTCATTGTAAAATAATGAAACAACAATTACAAATTATTAAAGATTTCTTTATAAACTACATTTTGAGTCTTATTTAAAAGACCCCTAGACTCGCCACATATTAAGACCTTAAGACCATCTGGATTACTGACCCGAGAAACTGCAACATACAATTGTCCATGGTTAAAAACTGGTTTTTTCAGTAACAAACCAACATGTGAAAGCGTTTGACCTTGACTTTTGTTGATCGTCATTGCATATGATAACATCAGTGGAAACTGCTTTCGTTGAAACATGAATAGAAGTCTTGGGTCTGAAGGAGTCAAAGATAGTCTCGGTATCAAAACCTTTGTACCTGCGTTATTCCCAGCTATAATTTTTCCCTCGATAACATGATTTCCCAACTGTGTTACTATTAACCTTGTACCATTGCACAACCCCATAGAGTGATCTATATTTCTCAACAGCATAACTGGAGTTCCAACTTTCAACGTTAGAGAGTGATTTGGTACACCCGAACACCTCAAGCTATTTAAAAATTCTGTTGTCTGTACTTGGGACTGCATATCAAAGTTTGAATCTGCCTTGCAAACAGAATCACAACTCAAGTATGTCATTGAAGCAGCTTGATTAATACCATTCATGTATTCATTGACCTCATCAACTACATCTAAGGTTGGAGCTAATATAGCTCTATTCTCCAGTTGAATTCCATCCATGTTCCCAGTACAGTAGTCAGGAAATGTGCTTTCAACAATTTGCCTAATAGGATCAACCTCGTTTTCTAATACAAATGAAGACGGTATCATTATATTGCAATCAACACCATTGTCTTCACCAAGATTACCATCACCTAAATCCGCAATCCATTTGGCAAAACTATCTAACTTTTGAACATCATCTTCATTAGTAAGCCCTTGCAATCTTAAATTCTTGGTTAGACGCAGAACTTCACAATTATTCCACAGGTAAGATGAATTAATACTGGCTTGAACAATATCTTGTCTAGTACCTTTTGGGATAACGGGTAAAATTTGTCTAAAGTCTCCACCCAACACCACTGTTTTCCCGCCAAATGTCATTGATGAGCTCCTTGAGTTCTTGAAACGCATTAAATCTCTCATTGTTCGGTCCAATGCTTCAAAACAATGTTTGTGCATCATCGGAGCTTCATCCCAAATTATGAGTTTGCATTTGATTATCAATTCAGCAAGCGCACTGCCTTGCTTGATGTTGCAAGTGGAGTCTTCATTAATAGCAATTGGTATAGCAAACCTGGAATGTGCAGTCCTACCACCAGGCAGCAGCAACGAAGCTATACCGCTTGATGCTACATTTAGAACTATCTCGCCCTTGGACCGTACAGCTGCTGAAATAGTCTTCCACAAAAATGTTTTTCCTGTCCCACCATAACCATAAACGAAATACATTCCACCTTTCTCTGTCTCAACATCTGCCATCACCTTATTGTATATGACTAACTGTTCATCGGTTAGTTTCGGATGCAACGAATTATGTTGATGCAATAGAGCTTCCCTATCATATGACATCTCCTCGAACAACAACCTGTTACCGGAAAACAAATCGTTGTTTTCATCTGGCATTGGCATAGGTGGATAATCTAATAGAGATTTGTTCCAAGCATTCAACAACTTCTCCATTTCAATCAAAGCAAAAATTTTTTGTTGAGATTCATTTAGACTTAAATCTACAATATAAGAAGAAAAAACCGTAAGATGTAATGCTTTAAAGAATGGCTATGAATAATTAATAATATAACAATAAATGTTACTTGGGACTGAGAGGTTCCTTCTACAAATATATTGAGCATCATCTGATAAGTATTGCCAAACCATCTCCCAAACATTTTCTGGCTTGGACATTGAATTGGATGTCAGAAGTGTAACAAACAACTTACGTAGAGAATGGGGTAAAGACCAAGATGCTGCCTCAGTGATTGCATCAACATACTCTTTATCATCTTCGATTAATCCGCGTGCATAACATGCATCTCTAAATGAATTGTATTGAACACCATCTACTTGTTTAATCTCATCAAATGAAGTCGGTCCACGAACTATATTAAGTAAACATCTAAGATAAAAAATCTCACCAGTATTTGGTGGCACATAAAAGATTCGACCAATTGCCCAATTTCTTTGCCTAGGTTGCCATTCTCTTTTATTATTTTTCCAAACAAATTTGGTTGGCATCTGTGAGTAAGTCAACTGCCTCCCTGCAGCGTACTTTTTATTAGCCTCAAACCAAGCAGTAAACATGCTTTGAGCTACTGTCGGTCTATTTACAACATCATTGACCAAATCGTCGTCATGAAATATTATTGATTGCTCATTGGGGAGATGAAAACTCAACCGCTCAACCGATGGATTCCTGAATTGTATGTCAAACGCAAAAATCCTCCACGCGGCCTCAGGGGGTGAAATATATCTACAGTCATAGTACATCTTGATTTCATCTATAATCTTTCCAGTAGATTCTTCCACCCCACTGTTGTAGAATTCAGCCGTGACCCTATCATTACCCTTGTTGACGTACTTGAATAAGTACTTTATTGACCTAGATTGGTTGCACCACTCCACATTAATATGAGCCATGTACTTCATAAGCAAATGTCGATTGTGTGGAACAACATATCTACTATCAAGGTCAATCCCATTCCTCCGAACTGTACGACCATTATCTCTACGCCGATATATTGGATATCCATCAAAATCCACTGTTGAGTTTTCCACAAATTTTTTGGGGAAGAATTTAGAACACATGCCTTTTATCATGCAAGGTGAATTCTTCCTAACTGCACCACATGGACCGTGAATCATAAATTCTGCTACAGCTTGAAAATACTCGGGTTCGCACAGTGGGCTTGGAATCTCGGCAGATATGATCCGGTTAATATCTTTAGGATTAGGGTAAGGGTTACTCTTGCTCAAGAATATCAGAATGTGAGCATGTGGCAGTCCCCTTTTTTGAAATTCAATGGTGTAAATTACTGCAAGAAACAAACAATATGCACATGGATCTTTAAAATTGTTGAAAATTTTAAAAGATATGTAACAACCAAAAACAATCAAATATATTGATGAAATGACATAAATTACCTACATCTACCACTCCAAAAATTTTCTCTTTCTGAATGTCTTTAATTAGTGCATTTAATTTCAGTTTAAACACATGGCATACTATATCCGGCCTATCTTCAGCTTTGACTTTCCTTGGTTGTAAAAATCTTTCAATCTCTGGCCACTTAGGATTACATGTGAATGTAATAAATAGACTTGGATAACCGATCCATCTACAAATAGCCATTGCATCTTGGTAAGTCTGCACCATATATCTTACCCCTCCGGTAAAACTCGATGGCAAAATTATGCGTTTTCCTTGGGCAGTAGGATCTACTTCGCCACGTGTTAACGCATCTGTCAAACCTTTGTATGATTCACATCAAAGTGACTTTTGATGAGACCTAATATAAACCAAGCGTCCTGATTCTACCATGGTATTGTTGGAGAAATAGGCTGATAAAGTGAAAACTCAATAACTGTTGTGCCGTGGTATAACCACTGCCATAGAAGCGAATTCGCCGCTACCGGTGCAGGCTCACAACAACGGCGTTGCCCCCGAAGGTTAACACAGCAATCCCCATCTCCGTGCACCCGGAGCAGGGATTGGAACATACACAACATTCTCAGAGTGGAAAGGGGACAATAAAGACAACAAGACAATGTTTGTTTGTGTGTCTGAACTCAAGAATACCCCATTTAAATAGTAAAAGACCAAATAATTAGGACCATATACTGCCTAACAAATCTTGGCCATTCACCACCTTGTGGTGAATAGTGGACCAAGACTAAGTTATCAGTAAAATACTGGCCACACACTTGCATTTTCCCAACAATCCCCCACAAATGCAAGGGAATGTCAAGGATGCTAAGACTCTGAGAAGTATAAAGGTTTGACACTTAAGTGCTAGTGAACGAATCTTGAACTGGCACGTAGTGACACATGGTATACTCTGATCTAGTGAGTGAACGAATCTTGAACTCTTAGATTAGAAGTTTAAACCAAGTGACACGCATCACACCTTAGATCTTGTGTAAGTTCCGCGAAAAAACTACATATATATTTATCCCAACTGAACTTTGGGTTGCTCATGAGTGCTCTAGAAAGATAGCCCATTATCTTTCATAAAAGGCGGCTAACCCTTTTCACTCAAGTAGGTGATCTCATTAAGTCTATCTCAATATAGACTACCCAATTTAGAGTATGAAATCATTAAGAGCATTTTATGCTCACCCTCTCAATTATCAAGCGGTGAATTCATTAGGTCCTCTCAATAGGACTACCCATCTCATAGGTTATAAATTCATTAAGAGCTGTAGCTCAACCTCACTAGTACACACATCATAAGAATGACCAATTAGTGTACTACTTTGTGATTCTTTCCATGGCTTCGTTTGACCACAAAAGTGGGATCCACCACGAATTCATCACCTCTTGGGCTTTGAGTCATTTCATCAATAACTTAACAACTAACCTCATAATTAGTCCTCTTTATTAAAGTAAGTTGATCCTCTCGATCAAACTTACGTACACTTTAACGTGTACTTTATTTACTCACAAATAACTCCCTTGAAATTTTCATGTTCAACATAAAATATATTCTCTTTTTACCATTATTTTCGGTACCACAAAGGGACTTATAGGAAAGAAATATATAAGGATTTAATTACCCCCACAATGCAACACTTACAAATACTTTTCTCAAAAGTATTTTATTTCTTACCCAGATTTATTTTAGGCGCCCAACATTGGCTCCTTAGAAGACTGAGCTACCCAGACTTTTATAACAACTCTGCACTTGGTTAATACACATTCAGTAGTGGATTATATTTCAACTAAAATAGTTACCTCTATTTCAACTAAAATAGTTACCTCAAACCACTAAGATTTCCCTTTATATAGGAATCCTAGGTCTTGAAACCGACTCAATTAATACTTTAAATCATATGTATAATTGCTCATTGCCAGTAAGCCACATAGATAATATTGTTTGCATGTTGCTTCATAAATTTCACATAATTTTTTTTTTTTGAGAAAATTAAATCTCATATTCAAAAATTATATTTAAACTGACATTTATTAGAGAATGATTTATATCTACATAAATTTCAACAAGGTGAAATTCAACATATATAACTTTATCATTCAAAGTTATTTCACCTTCACAATTTTCCCACTTGAGAAAATTAATAACTCATATATAGCATTGATGTAATGCAAATCAATACAAATTTCATATTTATTCTCAAAAGGACAAATAACCCGTAGTTATTTATAACATGATAATTTAAATCAATGCTGTTATTAAATCACTTAAGCAATATATATTTGCAAGGCTTAGATATTTTAACATCATGTGAAAGTCAATCTCATTTTAAGTGAGAATCAAGTAGCGCTCTACATGATCAACACCCTCTCAAGTCTAATGGTGAAACCGAAGTTTACCTAAAAACCATCTTTCAAAAATGATCTAAGCTTTATTGAGAATATGACTCTTCCATGTACAAATAAATTTCAACAATTTAAACTAGCCTTTGATATGTGCTTGTAACCATTATACAATTAAATTGAGTACATGCTTCATATTTCTAAGGTAATGAAACAATAACATATATGCATCTCATATTCTCAATTCATTGCATGTTAATTTAAATAACATGTGATTTTTCATTTGAAAACAAAAATCACAAAATCACTATAATGCTTTATTTTCACGCACCTTACATATATCACCATAATTATATTCCAAGTGCGTAAAACCACATAAATTAAAGAGGTATATGTGATATATAAAGCATTACCTTAAAAATGTAATAGGCCGGAACTGAGTCGTGAAACATTCTGAAAAAATAGCAATAGCAACCTTACATGCATGTATCACTTCTTAGTTATACAAATCTCCTCGTATGTTTTGGCGTCGGGACCCTGGGGAGTCATGCAGCTATGGAGGCTTGCACCAACTGGAAAAAAGTCATCAAGTTTTGCCTAATATCCTCCATAGATCAGGCCCATAGATTCACAACTTTGTGTATTGATCAAACAAATTGGTGTTATAAGGGCAGAACTTGCTTAGATCATACTGCATGTAAACATAGCACTTTTACTCCATAAGGATTAAGGAACTAGTATTGATAATTTTATCAAGGTGTAAAGATCCTTATACCTTGAAAGAGTAATAATATTTAAATTAAAAAGCTTGCATAATACTTAGCTTAATTAAGGAGGATGCATTAGACCCATATATACTTAGCTTCAATCGTGCTGCCAGGATATGATACTGCATACTGCAAAGTACCGAAACCATGCATCATCAAGTTGACCCTAAAATTTAAGTTTCAAATGGTCAGAATCTCTCCAGTAGCAGCAGGATCATTCAACTCATCCGCAGCAAGCGCCCTAGTTCACTTTGCCACCTCCTCCTCTTCACATCCGTTTCACAAGAAATATTGACTGCATTTATTCAACAGTTTCCACAGCCGTTACCGCCGCCCACAACGTCACCACCATTCTCGAAGGTCACCCGGAATACAACCAGTTCATCGATGACTACCTCTCCCGAACTAGCTGGCCGACGAGATCAACAGCAATGCGCTTGGGAACTTGGGCTTCGTCAACATTACGGATCAGAAAGTTGGGAAATTAAATTCAGATTCGGATCTGCTCTTCCCGGCTCGCCATTGGCGTCTCTGTACACCAAGTCTGTTAAGCAACGTGATCATCACCCACAACATAACCTGACATCAACGTTCACCGGTTATGGCTTCACTGTAGCGTTGGTCTTCAAACTCTCATTTAATTACGGCTAAAACTGTATTGGAAATCTGGAAAGTACAGCGTAGCATATGCAGGCATTCATAGATATATATAACATATCCATGCAGACACCATTTAAGAAGTACAAACAAATGCATGAGTTCATAAGTATACTTAGCTTTGTTAGCAATGGAATAAACGTTGCCTTCGATTATCCACACCAACGAATGAGCCAGCATCACCTTTTAGTTCGTCAATAACGTGAGTATCCATGCCCTTCACATCCACAACATCGTACGCGATAGATGCCCTGGTTAGAAAAGTCGAGACCACCTTGGCATTCGCATGATGAGCAACAGGGATGATGTTCTCAATTTTGGTTTGGTTCCTCATTCACTATTATCAGCACTAATTGAATTCGCTTCTATATTGTTGGAGAAATAGGCTGATAAAGTGAAAACTCAATAACTGCTGTGCCGTGGTATAACCACTGCCATAGAAGCGAATTCGCCGCTACCGGTGCAGGCTCACAACAACGGCGTTGCCCCCGAAGGTTAACACAGCAATCCCCATCTCCGTGCACCCGGAGCAGGGATTGGAACATACACAACATTCTCAGAGTGGAAAGGGGACAATAAAGACAACAAGACAATGTTTGTTTGTGTGTCTAAACTCAAGAATACCCCATTTAAATAGTAAAAGACCAAATAATTAGGACCATATACTGCCTAACAAATCTTGGCCATTCACCACCTTGTGGTGAATAGTGGACCAAGACTAAGTTATCAGTAAAATACTGGCCACACACTTGCATTTTCCCAACAGGTATAAGCATCAACCAAATATTGTTGGAACAACCGCCTAGCATAAAGCAAAGTTGACATTTCATTGAACCTATCTTGCAAACGGAATGAGAAATACTCCCTGGGACTAAGTTTACTCCTTGCATTTGAACTCCTACCTTCAAGAGTAGTAAATTGTATGTCGTCTCTGTATCCGTCTTCACCATAAGGAAAGAGTAATGGGTACTGCAGTGGGAGATATGCCGGATTTAATTCAGTTATTCTTTGAAAATGTCCAGCTTTGGACTCCACCAATATATCTCTTTCTCCCATGTTTGGGTCTAAATCACCAACAATCAATGCAACCACCTCCCCAACCTGTGGCAAGTTATATGTCCTTGCATCCTTGGTCCTCTTACCGATGAGTTTGATTTTAATATCAGCTCTATGGTTACTTTCCATCTCTGTTTTGGCCATTCTAAAACTCTGAACCAAAACATTATTTTCATCCAGTGCATCTTTAATGTCTTTAACAATTTCACGATGGATTGTAATGTTTGACTCATCTTCCCTGTTTGGAATATAAAAACCCATACAATTTTATAATGTATATTGTTACAAAAATGATGTTAATCTATTTAAAATAAATAAACGTACATAACTTACCCAAGTGCAGTTATACGATTGGTGATCTCGTTTTGAGTGTCATAAATATACAATTGAGCAAACTTTGGTCTCTCGCAAGATTGTGGGAGCAAACTACCGATCAAGTGAAAATTTTGACCATGTAACCTAAAAGTCGGTGGTGCACTACCATTGTTGACCGTTCTGTCAATTTTTCCACCCATGGAAGTAAAGCAAAACATATTGTTAAAGCACCGAATGTTCTTTAGGAAATGGTTACTCTTTTGATCTTGGTTAAAGAACAACTGCCTGATTGCCATTGGTGGAATATTAGGATGCGGCAACTTTATCTTTCCATGACCGCAACATAGTGAATATTTGGGATTCCGAACACCGCTAGATTTATTTACTCGCTCCTCTAACCAAAACATAGCTCCACAATGATTGCATGAGTACGTTTGATCACCAATATCACTGTAATAATCTAGAAGAAGCCAAATGTTATTACTCTTACCTAAAAAATAATAATAAAGGTTATTACTCGTACCTATACTCACCATTAACATTTGCCGAGTTTGACGGTGTATCATGGACCACACTATCAAAAGCGGACAACAAATTAAATTGCATTGACGCCTTTGGTGTTGAGCTATTGTCATCCACAACGCACGATCTTGTTGTTCCAACTATAAGATGATAAAAAACGTTATTATTCATAAACTAAACACTATACATTTATATTTTTAAAAAGGATTTACTTAATTGCGCAACTTTACCATTTGTTAGATTTGACAAAGGCCCTCGCCTTTCGTTGGACACCATAGGGGTAGTTTCGAGCACGTTAGATTGCAATGTCATTGATTGAGTCATATTTTGTAAAACTATTAGGAAAAAAAATCAATTTTAATAGACCAAAAAAAAATCCAAAAATAATATAGTAATTATATATAGATATATAATTTATAATAGAAATTTGACTATTAATACCTCCACTTTGTCCACCCAAAAAACGGCTATTATTAACATGTGTAATCTTCTCTCTATCACTTGCCAATTGTAGTGCAATTGAACACTCTAAACAAAGAATTTCCAAAAATCTAACATTAATCTCTATAATATAAACAAATAAAATAAAATTTATTATACCATATTACCGATAATATTGATTAAAATAAGAGGACTAACCATCTATCACAGTTACTTTTGGTGTGTTGAATGTTGCATTTTCTGTACAATTAGATAATAAAATAAAGAATTACTAATAAATCTTACGAAAGAATACAATGGTGTTGTATGTACTAATAAAAGACAATAAATCTATATTGCACCATATAGATTATCACATTAAATAAACAAATTTATCCCAAAAAAACAAATGCTATATATGTAACATTCCTAAATTAAAATACAATAAACACCACACCAAAGGTTCCTATATAAATAAGCGTATGTATAATTATGGCTGATTAACCATCAGTAACCATAACATCTCATACCATTGTATACGTTTAAATGTTGTGTAGAAAGACCCCCACACCGTGTCCCAATAAAACACCTCTTATTTTGAGATGTTTCAGTAACAAATGTAAGCTGAGATCTATCATTTGACACTTCGACTGTCATTGAGCACTCTAAGCAAAAAAAAAAAAAGGTACAAAAAGCTAACATTAATATCCCTATAATATAATATGAATATCACAAATAAATGTACTATAAAATAATACCTATATTGCAATTAGAAATAAAGGAATTACCAGCAATCGTAGTTCGTTTCGGTGTGTTGAATGTTCCACTTTCCGTACACTCATTTTCTATCATGAAAAAATAAAGATTTTATAACCAATAAGATAAATAAGCATGAATATAATTTATGATTTTGAATTAAATAATACAACGATTACATAAAATAAACAATTCGACTGAACAAACAATAAAACATATATGTCGTTCCAAAATTGAAATACAATATATGAATCATAATAAACACCATATATAATACTAATTTAACAAAAATGAATAAAATAACCATATTAAGATAATTTATTCCACCATATATATAGTAGCTACTAATAATAGATAGGCATACTATATATTATACACATATATATACATGTTATCTACTGCGCATTTTATATATATATATATATATATATATATATATATATATATATATATATATATATATATGTGTGTGTGTGTGTGTGTGTGTGTGTGTGTGTGTGTGTGTGTGTGTGTGTGTGTGTGTGTGTGTTTATTTATTTATTTAACCAAAAAAAAATAGGATCAAGTGTCATTCCGCACCATGAACTAATTGCGATTTGTCATGCCGCACCTTGACCTTTAATAAGTGTTGTTTGGATGCACGAACTAAAAAAATTTTGTCGCCTAGAACATTTTGCAGGTTTCCCTGTTGCCTGGATGACGTGGAACCGGTAATGTGCTGACGTGGACCTTTTATTAAAGTCAATTCTTATTTTCATCTCATTTTTTTCAATGTGCTAATATGGACCCTGTTCTTCAATCGCGGATTCGCGGTGAGGTCCGACCGCCTGTTCTTCAACCGCGGCGACAATAGCAGCTACTCCCTCGCAGCCATGGCGGCAACGACGACGAAAACCCCAACGAATAATCAAGAAAATCTGGAGGAAGAAGGACAGATCTCGATCTCTGTCACCGAGATTTGAATGTTGATCGGAGAATTCTTCGTCCTCGTCATCTCCATCGGCCGAGGAGATTGACTGATAGTATTCTGGAGCTTTGTCGGAGTTCGTATCTGAATCGCTTTCTCCGACGTTCACTAGCACAAAAAAAATCACTAAATAAAAACTCAATTCCGTAAATACTGCGAAGAAGGTTAATCCTCAATTACCTTGGTTGAATTCCGGCGGAGTGTTCGACACCGCGTTCATTGCGCCTCAGCTACAGAGAAATCGATAAGTTGAGATAAATGTTCAAAGCAATCACTTGGGGATAAGCTTAGATGAATGTTCAAAGCAATTGATAAGCTGAGATGAATGGTTGCATAAGATGCCAAAAAACCATATAATACAGCAGTGGTTATTGAAACTGGGTTGCATGGGGAAACAATCACTTGCTTTGAGTATTTTTTCAATCACTTGCTTCGGCGAGGTGGACCAACCAGGGCCTTTGCGGGGGAGCTGGAATTTTAGACGGCGGAGTGGAGGGAGCCGGAGAGAATGCCGGCGTTTGCGCCTACGTCCTTGAAGACCGATACGGTGTCAAGGGTGGATTGATCGTATTCCTGGGAAGATTTGAGGACAGGGGAGTACTGGAGTAGATACCAAAGGCGTACGATAAGTCGCAGCTGCATTGAATCCATTTGCTAAAAAATGGATGCGCCGGAGAAGAAGATGGAAAAACAGTTTTGGGTGTTCAACAATCGGCAGTGGAAAAGTCAAAAAATAAGCATGCCATGTCATATATTTAATAATTATTTAAAATAGGCTAATAAAAAAAAACTCCACATCAGCTTTTATTACCTACAACTTGTAGAAAACCTGCAAAATGTTCTAGGCGACAAAATTTTTTTAGTTTGTGCATCGAATCATCACTTATGAAAGGTGAGGGTGCGATTTGGCACTTGAGCCAAAAAAATATAAAGGAGTGTCCAGAAGTGAGACTTCTGGACACAACCCGATCCTAATTCACACTTGTCTACTTCCCTCTTCTCCCTACGATTTCTCACTCCGTCTATCTCTCTCTATCGCTCTCAATCTATCTCTGTAATCCAGACGTCTTAGGCGTTAATGGCGTCTGAATTTTGTATCGGCCATTATACACAAAAGACATTCTTGATCCAATCGCAGACTATACTACGATTTGCTTCGAGAGATAGATAGAAGAGGCCGATTTTAGGGAAACCCTAAATTTGTGTTTGGGGTTTTAAATCCTCTTTTATTTGAAGGAAGATCTACTGAGATGGTTGTTTGTTTGTACGGATACACTTAAGGTGAACACTCAAGGTGGTTACTTGTAAGACTGTAACGTACTCATTCTTACTTAATCTTTACTATCCTTGCTAAAATGTATATTTGTATAATTAGGGTTTGAACCTGACTAATTTAGCGACCGAGTGTTGTATGTTGCACTTGATTTATATTGATTTGCATTTTCTAACGTTAAGCTTTCCTATATTTACCCAGAAAATTGTTTTTTGAATATGGGGATACTATAGTGTTATCCTTGCGCTCCTATGAAAATTTATGCTTTTTAAACAGAAATGATTTGTAAAAAATGTTTATACAGTTGATAATTGCAAGAAAGAAAAAAAATCAAATTTCATAGGAGAAGGTTTATAGACAGAAAATAAGAAAGACGCAAAAGCTATGAGAATAATAGATGTTAAGATAAATGTTCAATGTACCTTTGTTTGAAATTGTGTCCTTCCTTTTGGACCAATGACAGTTGATTTAGTTAACTTCCTCATTTGCTTGATCTCCTCAATGTTTGGAAAGTGTTTCTCTGTAAGTAGTGTGTTTAGTTGAGAATGAATTGTGTACTCTCCATTTAAAAGTGATTATCTGATTGTAACTGAGTTTAAAACATAAAAGCCCAATGAAATTCCCTAGAATTTTGCTGGAATTCATTAATGATTACTTCTTTTGGGAAGCAGAAAAGACACACCTTGAAAAGGTAGTATTTATTCCCATTCTTTATCCTGGCATATGTTGGTGTCAAAACAGTTATTATGGTTTCTAGCTTTACAACATTACTGATTAAATTTAATTTTGATGTCAACAGTCACCTAATTAGTATATGTGTATTTTGTTTCAAAATTTATGATCCAGTACTGTTTTTGATTACCAGTTCGATATGTTTATTATTTTCTGTTTTTGAAAATAGTTCACAATTCTGTTTGTCTTAATTTATTCAGATTCTAACATTTGTTTTCAAGGAAATAGCACATGATGATAATAATTTCTGATGCCATTACATTTCAGAGTTACGATATACCATATTACTATATTTGAAGTTTAATTTAAGGTGATCTATTGCATTCCACTACTGGCAAATACAACAAAGGAAGGCGTCATGTTATACTTACATACCTGGCGCACCGAGTCTTCAAGATTTCACAACTTGACTATAGATTTATTTATAAAGTACAATCCAATTTTGATTGTTTACTATGTTTGTGTGAATATACAAAATCAAAATCATTGTTTTTGTTTGAAATTGTATGTTCTAAGACTTTGTTTAGACTTAAGTATTTACTACTTGACTGTTTTGATTGGGAGAAATGTTTTGATAAATGAATGTTTGATTTGGAATTTTGTTGTAGTCCTTATTTGGAAGAAACATTATGGCTTTAATATAGAGAGAGAATAGGCATAAGAAAGTATATTTGTATTAATTACATACTTTGCTGATTTTGATTGAGAAGAAGCTATTTTTTAGCTATTAAAAGTACTTGACTATTAAGCTGTAGTCCTTGACTATTAAGCTGTTTTCCATGACTATTAAAAGTACTTGAATATAGATTTTATTTAAAAGTACATGACTATTTTGATTGTTTACTATGTTTTTCTCAATATACTTGGACTTTAATTTAAGCTGTAGTCCGTTATTGAAACATTTATTACATTTATTCATAGAGAAGAACCTATTTTTTAGTTCTTAAAAGTACTTGACTATTAAGCTGTAGTCCTTTATTGAAAGTACTTGACTATTAAGCTATTTTTTAGATATTTAAACTACTTAATGTTTATATATGATTAAGCCATGATATTTCAATTTGATATTCTTTATGTTTTGTATGATATTCTTGATTTGGTTAAATTTCAAATGTTTATTGACTTTGTATATGATCTATAAAGTAGTTTAGTATTTTAGAATGTCATGAAAAGAGTGTGAAGCCAAGTTCAGATGTTGACAAAACTGAACTCATGGAAAAAAAAAAAAAAGAACATAGCCAAAAAGGTGCCATTGAAGTAAAATAGGTGAGAAATGAAACAAATGATAATCATAGCTTTATTGTTCAGTTAAAAAACTTCAACAGTTGGATCAAAATACATAATGCAACTGATGAATGAACAAATTCCTCTATTTCAGATGTATTGGAAGTTCAAGGCCAAAACAATAGAGATACTATGCCTCACAGATAAGTCATTTTAAATTTCAGCCACTCATGTTTCTTGCAAATCTATTTCTTGTGCCTGCCACTTGATATCTGCCTGTTCATACCTGCAATGAGTTAGGAAATAGACAAACCACAGCATAAAAACATATAAAAACCATCAATGTTGCAAAAATCGCGCCTAGGCGCTAGGCGCCATTGCGCCGCCACGAGGAACGGCCTCCGCAGCCTCCTCCGCGGCCGGCCGCCTAGACTGCCTAACCGGCCGGTTCGGCGGTTTTTTTTTTTTTTTTTTTTGGAAAATGTCGGAAAAGTTTCGGAAGGCATAACTTTTGACTCGGTTGTCCGATTTGGACAATTTTTTTTTTTCAAATCGCGTATTTTTTCGAGATCTATCCACCGCCGAAGGCAGTTTGGTCCACTAATTTCTCAAAAAGATGCTTCTTTAGCTCTTAATTTTAGTTTTTTATGTATTTAGATGGTTTAAACAATCTTTTGAACACTTTTACAACCACTTTCGTAAATAATTTCTAAGAAATAACTATAGAAACCTTATGTTTTATTACTAAATTTTAAAAATTTTTAATTTTTAATTTTATTTTTAATTAAAAAAATATAAAAAAATATAAAAAAAATATAAAAAATCGGCGCCTAGGCGCCCTAGGCGCTAGGCTCCCCCTTGGCGCCTAGGGGGCGCCTAGCGTGTTTTGCAACATTGAAAACCATTGATAAGACTGTAAAAGAAAGCACTAATAGACAGTGCATAGTATCCTTGTCAATCCATCAACAATCAAACATAATATGTACTCAGTAGTACATATTATCAAAATCCATATTACAAAAACAAATGAGCACCCAAGTCACCAGTATCATATTGTCCATCATTGAACCACAAAACACAAACTTAATTTTACTCCTGTTTAACCAAAACAGCTTTTGCTTTCTTAACATCTCTACTTGATGAAAACTGATCAAGTAGATTCCTTTTTGATGACACTGCTTCCAATGGTTCATCTTGTTCATCCAGCTTTTGCTTCTTAGCTTGAATAGGATTGGGACTGGTTGCCTCATCACCCGATTCAGACTCCTGTTACAAATAAGAAAAAAAATTTAGTTTTACCATGAAGTAGTTAGTTTATTGAATCAAGTGACCATTAGTTAAATACTTACATCAGACTCGACTTCTGGTTCTTCTTCATTTAACATCCTTGATAGCTGATCTTGTTCATCACTTAAACATGGACAGTAGTGATCAATTAAATCTTCATCCTGTGCTATTCCAACCACAGGTATCGCTATTGCTCGGTTCCTGAAGTGATCACTCTTAGCAGAAATCTTGAAGACCATAGCCTTATTACGGACTTCTTCCATACCGGTTGGCAGAGGAGACCCATCCTGAAAAAAACAAAAGTGTTTAGACAGCTTTCAAAGGTTAGAAAAGTATTTCATAAAAAAAAAACATTTAGAAAAATGTCTAGTAGTCCTTTTTTGACTCAAGGTTTAATAAAATACCACTGAGTATTTGCTCCTTAGGTCGAATGCAGTCTTTCCAATTATCTCGCAGCCCTCCTTGTCCCACAACAGAAAAGGAGCATCTGTGGTCTTATCACCTACCCTCACAGTGAGCCTGTACCTTAAGTTTCCCTCTTGCCAGCTTGTGGCACATTTTAGGCATTGCAAAGCCCCATTCTTCAAGTGTAATTTCCTAAAGCATCCCTCACTTCTACATGAATGGTAAAACCAATTGGTAGTACTCTCCATAGCAACAATCCTTCCAGGAACCCAGTAGTAGCCCTCCTGGTGGTTCAAATTAAATAAAATTGTTAAGTTAGGATTAAAAAAATGAAAATAGAATGTTAAGGTTAAAGTAAGTTACAATGTACCTCGGCTCTTTCATAAAGATCCTCGATTGTAGTTACTTTAATAGGAGTTTTTGAATTATCAGCAGCATTGCCATGAGACATGTGAGACACAGTCTGTACACTTAGAGGTGGCCTGGTATCAACTTTCAAACTGCAAGGTAAAGAATTAAGATTAATTCATCATTGATCTAGGAAAGGTGATTAGAAATACAAATTATTTGGAATTACCTGTCTTTAAATTCCTGGACTTCCTTGCAAGGGTGATTAAACCATAGTTGTGTAGCGTTGTATGAGCTTGAAATCCTGAATTCATCTACATATTACAAACACAAATTTGATTAGAAATAATCAATACAGATGTTAAAGAATATCTTATCATGAACTTACTATCCACTTTCTTTGCTCGACAAAGTTGGAGTAAAACAATCAAAGGACCTTCCACATGAGTTTTGAAATAATGCATGGCTGTATCCACATGTTGATCACAGACAGTACACTTCAGACGATTGCCCCTAAAAATTAGTAAAATAGATTGTAAGTAGATAGAATATATTCTACTGATTAACTTTATATTGAGTTGATTGTTTAATGCTTTTTTATTATATAACAGTTCATTAAATGCAGGTGAAACTGAACTATAAGTCTGAGTGATATATAAAGAAGTCTGTAAGCAGTATAGTCAGAAAATGACCAAGATAAGTATTTTTGAATAATATATGTTTTAGCTTAATCACTTCATATGCACAGTTTACTTTAGCATGATTTACTTTATTTGAGATACATGATGTACATTTATATTGAGTTGGTTGTTGAAAATAGTTTGAGATGGGAAAAAATATACAGTGGGAGATCAGAACCTTGGGTTCATTAAAGGGATAATACAGATATGTAAGAGGTAAGCTAAAGCTAATTGCTTGTAAATTAAAGCTCAATGATTACCAGTTGAATTAGTTCCTTATTTGAGTTTTAAATTTTATTTGAATCTGCTTAATAGGCAATTTCCGATTTAATCACAGCTTGAATACATACAGTGGTTGGAGTTTGGCAGAAATATATCTTGGGAGAGCAGAAAATTGGGTTCAATCAGTCTCAATCCTAATAACAATATGTAAGAGCTAAGTTACATATAGTTTATTGAAACTTCAATTAGTTTCTGATTTCAGTTTTAAAATTTAATTGAAACTAATTAATAGCAGATTTCTTATCTCACCACAGATTGAATACATAAAAAATGGATTGAGATTCGCACAACTATACAGTGGCAGCTCAGAAACTTGAATTCATCAAGTAATGTTACACATATGCAATAGGTAAGTGAAAGCTTATTGATAGAAAGTTTTAAGGTCTATGTTTACTGTATTGGTGACAAAAATATTTAACACACATGTCCATTTTCTAAGCATATTAGAATTAGGAAAAAAACTGTAAATCTTATGCAGTTTTATATGGAAATAAACTTAGAAAAGTAAGCATACTTATTGGTCATCTTCTATGAGAAAATCCACCAATTTGGAGGGAAATCCAGCTATAAGAATCTCTTTGGGAGTGTAGTACTCCACCACTCTACCAATCACATCTAAAATGTGAATAGAACAAAACAAATTAAAATTAAAACATAGGATATAGGATATATAATATAGAGAAAAGAGCAATTAGAAATCATACCAATGGGATGCTTTTCAGATACATTGCCACTCATTAAGTCAATATAAGACTTAAGCCGAAACATTAGTAAGGGAAACCCCTTGCGCCTGTGCCTCTCAACAGTAGTCTCATGACTAAATCTGATCATATAGCTATGATCAGTAGTTTTGTATTGGTAGTAGTGTGATATAACTGCAAAATCTTTGATGGCATAAACCTTCCCTTCTTTCAAAAGTTTAGAATACTTTTTAACACACTCTTTAGGGATGTTTCCATGAATGTATGTACCCTATCAACAAAGAACATATATATTGACTGTAAAATTTTACATTTTTTGTAGGCAGTTGAAATCGAAAGAGAACTTACCTCAGAATCATGAAAGACACATTCCTGACTCTTGATGCTATCCGAACTGTTGCGACCTTCGGGTACCGTATAGGTACGAATCAACCGTAGCCTGATAGCTTTTCTGTAAGTAGACAATTTGATGTCTTTGCCTAGAATAAAAACAGGAGCCATTGCAGGTTTCGGCCAGAATTTTGAAAGCAATGAAGAAAAAGATGAATGGCCAAGTTAGACTGAAGAAAATAACAATGGTAGAAAACGCAAGAGAACAATGGTAGAAAGCAAACAACTAAATACCAAGGTTTTATAGAAGGTGGTAGAGAAGTTTCAAATGAGCCATGATCTCTCGGTTGCCTCCTAAATGAGACTGCACATTGGAAGAACAAACGACACTTGGGAAAATGCAATTACCCTTCATATATATATATCCTGTATCCGTTATATGTAGATCATCATTGTATGTATTTGTATTTGTATCGTATTGTATTTCTTCTATTATTTATTCGTTTATAATGGTTGGAATTCAATTGTTGGCCGCCGCATTAATATAAAATGCGACTGACCACATTCCAAGATAATTGGGACTTTAAAAAATTGATTGTAATCATAGATTTATAGATATTTATTGATATAGATTACTTATTCTTCAATTAAGATACAAACTGAAATGATTTTTTGTATTCTTTATTTTTTTTTTCTGATACCGAGATTCAACCAAAACGATGTAGTATAGTTTGAGCGGGAAAATGGAGCCATTTCATTGGCCGAAATCTTATGGCTTTAATATATAGAGAGATTATTATTATTATTATTATTATTATTATTATTATTATTATTATTATTATTATTATTATTATTATTATTATTGAAAATAAAGGGATCGCGAACCAACTTCTGGACGAGTGGACGGCATTCTTCAACAATTGAGTCTTATGGGAGATCCGATCGTGTAGCAAAGGAGTCGGACGGGAGCCGTTGGGTATGGTATTATAAATGAAGAGATGGATCATCGTTCTCATCATCGAAATCCATCCCGGATCAATTCACCCGGAACCAATTTCCGGCGGCCGTTCCTGCCGCTTCCGGACGGCGGAGACAGGTTCAATTTGGTGCAAGCAGCGTGATTAATCTTTCTAATTGGCTTGGCGGTGGAGGTTTTTGGATGGTGGCGGCCATCTCTTTTGGTACCAATTTGTTTCTTGGTTAGCAGCAGAATTTATTTGGCCTTTTACAATTCTTAATTATTCTCCTTAGTATTGTTTATGAGTAAATACTCAAAATGGTCCCTCGACTATAGCTAAATTCACAAATTAGTCCTCGACTTTCAATTTCAACCAATTAAGTCCTTAACTTTACAATTTTGACACGATTTGGTCCTCCATCTATTCGAACGTTTGTTGACCGTGATCGACGATTTCCAGAAGAACCTTCAGCTCTCGTCGGAGCATGTGGAGGCCTCCAGGATGACGTTGCACCGATTCGGAAATACGTCGTCTTCTTCGCTCTGGTTCGAACTCAACTACATTGAATCCAAAGGGATGATGAAGAAAGGCGACCGGATTTGGTAGATTGCTTTCGGCAGGGGATTCAAATATAACAATGCGGTCTGAAAATGCAACCGGAACCTTAAAAAACCGACGATGGACCATGAAATTACATATATATCCTCAAAAATCAAAGTCAACAAACGATCAAATAGACAGGACCAAATTGTGTTAAAATTACAAAGTTAAGGACTTAATTGGTTGAAATTGAAAGTTGAGGACCAATTTATGAATTTAGCTATAGTCGAGGGACCATTTTGGGTATTTACTCTTGTTTATATTCGGGTTATTCTATTGTATATATATAGAACAATTATTAATGAAATGCTAGTTCCTGCATTATCCAGTTTCTCTCTCTCTCTATTCTATGTATTGTTATTGGCATACAATTGTGTTAAAATTAAAATCATTCTGGAAAACTGAACTAAAGAATGACGAATTTACAACACATTATCAACACGATATAGAATGTGAATGATAATGTGTATTCAAGCATAAACATGTACACATGTATATACTGTACGGGGAAGAGAAAATAACATAAAAGTCCTAGTCTAAAGGAGAATAAATATAACAGAAATAAACTAAAACAATGCATAGGATACTACTGCTTAACACGCCCCCGCAAGATGGAGGAACCATCAGTTACGCCAATCTTGGACCGAAACCGCTGAAACAACACACGACCCAACGGCTTAGTTAACATATCAACCACTTGATCATGAGAAGATACATGACACACAGAAAGAGAACCATCAGCCACCATATCCCTAACGAAGAAGTAATCCAAGGCAACATGCTTCATTCATGAGTGAAAAACGAGATTTTTGCACACATATGTAGCCCACAAATTATCACAAAACAAGTTTGGTGGTTGAGATAAGATAACACCAATTTCTTGAAGGAGACTCTGAATCCAAATTAGCTCAGTTGCCGCATGAGCCAAAGCACGGTACTCAGCTTCCGTTGATGACCTTGACACTGTCTTTTGACGAGCAGACTTCCAGGATATAATATTTGTACCAAGATAAACTATATAAGCAGTAGTGGATCGACCATTGTCATTTACATTGCCCCAATCAGAATCTGAAAAGGCTGTTAGCACCGACAATCATATTTCAAGAATAAGCCATGATGACACATGCCTTTTAGATAACGAAGCACACGTTTTGCCGCTTGCCAGTGACCATCATTAGGCGCATGCATATACTGAGACAATTTATTTACCACATAGGCCACAACTGGTCTAGTAATCAATAGATATTGTAACAAACTAATTAGACGCCGATAGTTTGTTGCATCTATCACATGCCTAGAGTCATTGGCCTGAAGTGCAATATCTGAAGCCATAGGCATGGATACCTCCTTTGCCCCTTCCATTTTGAACCGATTGAGAATATCTGCTAAGTACTGACCTTGAGATAAAAACATGCTGGAGGAGGTAGGTACCACTTCTACGCCCAAAAAATGATGGAGAGCACCAAGATCCTTAATGGAAAACCTGTGATCTAAAACAGTAACAAACTTATCCAAAAAAGATGTATTGTTACCAGTTAAAATTATGTCGTCCACATACACCAGAAAATAAGCCATAGTACCATTTGATACATAAATAAACAAAGATGTGTCAGCCCTTGATCTCTTGATCCCAAACGCCAATAAGAAATCGTATAATTCTAAGTATTATAGAGGACTGTGCGGACTGGTGTAGTCGTGTGCCATTAGTCTGTATGTCGTGTGCCTGGCCTAATGTAGTCGTGTGCCACAGTTTGTATGTCGTGTGCATAGGTTTGTTAATTAATAAAGCCTGGGTTCGAAACCTGATGTTTATATGTATTCTTGTGTGCCATTATGTATTAAATTGTGTGCATGATACTAATTTGTTGTGTGCTCGTAATCAGTCCTCTATATATTGTGGTCCTCATGTGAACTCAACCCTATATATATATATATATATATATATATATATATATATATATATATATATATATATATATATATATATATATATATATATATATATACACACACACACACACACACACACACACACACACACACACACACACACACACACACACACACACACACACACACACATAGAGTCGAGTTCAGGTGCGGCGAGACCCTTCTGTGCGGTCGTGCGGTGGTTTTCATAATACACCAATAGTTAAGCAAATATACACCATCAACGTTAGGAAATGCACTATAAAACACACACAAAAATTAGTTACGCATCACCAAAACACACCATTAGGTATGACAAAAAACACCACACAGTGTTCGGAAATATACCATTAGTGGTAGCCGGTAGGGAGTTATATGGTGTATTTTTTGGGTGTGTTGTGTATCTTTTAGTATATTTTTGCATTTCATTGTTGTGTGTTTCTTTACTCTATTGGTGCATATTGTTAACACTGTTGGTGTATTTTGAAAACCGCCGCACGGGAGGGCCTCGCCGCATTTGAACTTATATATATATATATGTGTGTGTGTGTGTGTGTGTGTGTGTGTGTGTGTGTGTGTGTGTGTGTGTGTGTGTGTGTGTGTGTGTGTGTGTGTGTGGGCGGAGTTAGGATTGGTTGGTGCGGGGGGCCAATCACAATTTGAGAGGGAATAATAAAACATATAAATATTTATTTAACATATTTCAAAATACATCATTATATTACAAATCTAATAAAATTTGGAACGTCTTCCAAAATTCAATGGCTCAATACTTGTAAATGAATTTACTGATGTTGAATTTTCAGAATTCTTTCTTTTAAAGAAAAGATCAATTTAAAGTAGTAAAAATTTAAAGATTTTGATACAAAATGACAATTTATTATTATAATAAACACAATTGTAATGTATTTCATTTGCAAATTAAAAAAGATAAAAATTAAAGTAGTAGAAATTTAAAGATTTTGGTAGCAAAATGACACTTTATTATTATAATAAACACAATTGCAATGTATTTCATTTGCAAATTAAAAAAGACAAAGATTAAAGTAGAAGAAATTTAAAGATTTTGGTAGCAAAATGACAATTTATTATTATAAATTATAATAAACACAATTGCAATGTATTTCATTTGCAAATTAAAAAACTAACTATATAGCAAATTAGCAATCCACTAAATTACCCTAAAAGCTTGCTTGGAGGGGGCAAAATAACAAATATTTAGTGAGGGGGGCCAAAAAAAAAACTACAATTTTAATAAATAAAAAAAAATGGTTGGGGGGCCTTGGCCCCCCTGCACCTTAAATGTGGCTCCGCCACTATGTGTGTGTGTGTGAAAACACCCCTACCATTATAACTTCCGTTATTTTTTTCAACTATTATTACCATGCACAATCATCCAGAATATATTTTCTTATCTTCTTCAATGGTAATAATATATAAGTACTATATAAGTTATTTCTTAAAATCTAAATAACACATTTATAAAAATGGTTTACATTATTATTTATTTCCTAAAATCAAAATAACACATTTATAAAAATGATTTACATTATTATTTTGAGTACTATTGACTCTGTACAATATCACTAGGACTCAAACTTATGACCTCCAATTTGTTGTTATTATTATTGTTATTATAATACAATAATATAAATATCTAAAATTTAAATAAATCTAATATTTTAATATACATTACTAATTATAGACATTTATTTTTGTGTATTGTGCAGAAAAAATACTAGTATTATAATATATACTGTATAATTCCTTTTTGCCAAGATATATATATATATATATAATGATTTGATAAAGTGCTAAATTGGAATGCATGGTCTTCAAGTTTATCATTTCCCAACCCAAAGAAGAAATCAGAGATATTCAACGGCCAGAGGCCAGACTGCCAGAGGGTATAAATAAATTAAAAAATAATAATTGTAAAACCCCACTGTCTGTCAACTATGAAGACTAAAAAGCAAAATCAAATGAAAATTGAAGTGAGAGGTTAGTCCATAGAGGCTTTTTCTTTTCAATATCTCCGATTCTAGTCGCCTTGATTCGCTGTTCTTCGATTGTTCTACTCAATTCTGCCCGAGTTCTTAATTCGGTAAGCTCTCAGATTCAAGCTAATGTTTTTCAATTCCATTCATTCTTTTTATTTTATTATTTCTCATTAGGTCATCAATTGTATTGCTTTGTTTATCAAGACTGGATTTTCAGATGTGATTTGTGCTCCCTTTTGATTTTGCTTGTTTTTAAATTCCCTTTTTACAGCTTAATTTTGACTAACGGAAAATTCCAGTAAAAGATTGGAAATGCCAACTGCAATTTTGCAGTTGGAGGAGATGATTGTGGCATTTTTATTTATTTATTTATTTTTTTAAATTTATATTATGGGTGGGGTAGTTGTTGAATGGTGATGATGTTAAGCAAGTATGGTGTTTTGGGTCTCCTTGGGTTTGGCTATAGTAGAACTTGATTTTGTACCTCATATTTTTTTTGAGAATTTTGAATGACATAATGTTATTGAGGACAATCTGCTAATGAAGAGTTGTCTGTCCCAAGAGGTACAGAGCTGAAGTTGCCTACTTTAGTTTGTGGAAATGAAGAGACGCCTACTGGGATTGTAATGCCCAAAGCTAAGATCATGCATATAATTCTGTAATTACTGATATTGCCATTTTTGTATTTTCTGAAAAATTAACTCATTTTGATGTCTTTAGTCCTGCCTTGCTTTCCAGCCTTTTCAAATTATGAGTTTCACCGGCTAACAATTACATGTACCATTCAACTGAATAGGAGTGCATAAGGTTGGATAACTGGATAAGAACTCACTTAGTTAAGAGTGGATAAGGCTGAATTGTATACGAGTGGACAAAGCCAGATATCTTATGCTTGGTTGACATGGATGTAATTTGGAATTTCGGATATACAATTTGTTAGTTTTTCCGAATATAAGATTACAAACTAATTAACTGCAATGAAAACTTTGACTGCAGAACTAAGTCAAATTTGACCTGATTTCTAGCTATGTCATACTAGTTTGCTTTGTGCCTTCCCTTGGCATACATGGTTCATAATATAACTCATTCACATAAAATGGAAGTTAAGCCATGAAAACTTGTTGCCAGTACTTCTCGTTATTGCAGTCAATTTTATTGAATAATTTGGAATTGTGATAATCTATTAATAGTGCAATGACTACATTAAATTCCATTAGTGGCCTAATGGATATGAGGATATCTGCTTGACTGCTTCTTCTTCTTTTGGTGGATCCAATTGGAAGATAAAATTTTGTCTGTTTTCAACATCACATTCTAGAATGCCTTCTTTTGATGGATCCAATTGAAAGATAACATCTAGGCTGGCTGCAGTATCACATTGTAGATTATTATAACTTTAGTTTCCATTATTGAATCTATTTAAGAAAGGAATAAACAAGTAAATCTTTTTTCACCTTGAGGTTTCATTTATAATTGGGCTCTATGACAATGTTCTAGTGCACCTAAGTGATATTTTGGCAAAAAGTTGTACATTTTATTGTATTGTCTTTTTCCTGGGTTGCCTTTTAACTAAAAAAGAACATGTAAAAATGAAGGGTGTCAAGGCGCCCTTTTACTTTGCTGAATACATAGGTTCTATTGAGACCATTTTTGAGAGTTCTATTTTTTATTTTTTTAATTGCAGGTTTTCATCCTGTGAAGCTTATTAGATGTTGGTGCCAATCAAGGGTGAAGTTTTCTTGGCTTCTTAAAATCACCCGAGAAATCAATATGACCGTTTGAAGCTGAGGATTTTACTACTAAGGTTTGTACATTAGTAATTTCCTGTCAGTGTTTCTTTTCCATTGTAGACAAACTCATAATGGTTAATCTCTTTGTACTCTAATTTGCACATTTTAGATAACCAGCAATTAATTAGGTGAATTTTATTGCTTAAACTATGAAATGATTATCTTTCTACAATGCTAGATCACTATCAAGTTATTTTTGCTAGACTTTACATGTTTGATACAATTAATATGGTTTTTCATATCTTTGTTTTCTAGAAATTAGATGTTCCTTATTTCTGTCAATTTTGTGCTGCAGCCCACTAAACCAGAAAAGGAAATTAAGTTCAGGGAAATCGGTGATAGGGGATAGAAATTGGAGGAATCAACCTTCTTGGAAAAAAAAATCTGAGGAAGTTTACTATATAGTCCAAAAACAGAAAGTTAAAACCTTTAATAAAGCAAGCTTTGCAGGACAACCTAGATAATTCATTAACCTTATAACTTTTTACCCTCAAAGTACGTAGAAATCCCTATTTGTAGATCCTTAAGAATGAGAACATACTGAATTCTAACATGATTCAGTTACTGATTTATCAACTAGTTTTAATGACAGACTCTAGACACATTAAAAATTCACTGAACTAACCATATTACACAAAACTATTACATTTTAAAAATATATATGACAGTTAAAATAAGTAAATAACACATTATATTTTCCACCAAATTGTCAGTTATTATATTCCTTTGTCAATTGTTCTTGTACTAAGTTCCTTTGAGGTTTTTGCAAACAAAATTGATGAACCGTTGCCAGAATTATTATTTTTATTTAAGAAATTAGCTGGGAAAATTTAGAGTTGAATTGTTCTTCTCATAC